TTTAGCCTCTATGTTTTTGCTTCTCACACCAGTTTGTGCGGAAACGGCCTGGACCCAGTTCAAGAAAAAGCGTGCATTTGGATGCAGTTGCCACGTTTCAACTAAAGAATTTCAGCACTAACTTCTTCCACTTCTTTGTTCTTTATTCACAACTTCCTACTATCATACCATCTGTACACTTATATCTGGTTGTGAAATGGAGCTTCTGCTTGATAAAAGTGTAGAAAGTTCAATATTGATTCCAATCCTTCGGAACTTTCTTGCATTTTGTCTCTTTGAAGTTTCTTTCTGACAAACAGCTTAAGTGGTGCTCAGCAGTGTTGCACACCTGTTCTACATCCAATAGCTTACAAAAGCAACCTATGTGAATCATCTCCTTCTTTTTTTCTCATCGCAAGCAGTTACATTCATGTTATCATACGTCGGTTCGCTAAGTCCGATTAAAAAAGCTTCCTTCAGCTGCCGTTCATCGTAATCCTATTTAGTATTACGTTCATACATTTCAAACAAAGTCGACGAAATTTTCTAACAAGTTGCCGGCTGCTGCGTTTGATCCATAAGTTTGAGGTGCAAACTGCAGGCTTAGGAGCACATGTAGACAGATGGGACTACACGAAATTGTGGGGGGCCTCATGTTTTTGGTATTTGCACATGAAACGGACAGTCTTGAAATGTTTTATATCAAACCTTCATTTACACAATTCCCTTCCAAAATCCGCCCATTCGCATGCGGTTCTGAGATTTGAAAGAGAATATAAACTGGAAACGAGACAAATATTAAGCAGCAGCTAACTGTCAGTGTCAACTCACCATAAGAGGAATGAATCATACGGGTGTTACAGGTTTCAGTGCTGTTTTCTTTTGGCATTACCTGTGCTTTTTCCACACAGAGGAACAGACAAAGTTTGTTTCTCTGCTCAGGACTTAAGCAGCTTGTTGCCTGCAGCTCACTGTGGCCGCTCCTTCTTGATGCATTACTCCCATGCTAAACATTACCATTATCTTGTTTCGTTTTGTTGATGAATGATTGCGCTAAATGCCATTGTGTTTCCTGTGGCAGTTTTACAATGCAGGTTTCCCGGTGTTTCATCAATTAAATGCTTTAAATGTGCAGCAGTAGCGGTAAGAAATGTACCATTTACATTACAGTACCTTGCAATACAGTGGACTGTTAAAAGCAAGTCTGATATAAGTGACATTAAGTAACATTAAAGAATTACCTTTAAATTATAACTGACTGATAATATCTTAGGGATAATACCTTCAAGGTTTGTTTAGGTACCCAAAACTACTAAGTTCAAGCTTGGGAATTTTGGGTTCAGACACAAAACTACATGGTTTGGAATAAACTCAGCCAGTGATTAGAAACCAATAATCTGAAGTCATACAATTGTTTGCCCATCCATCCATCCCAGTCCCCTCCCTAGAAGGTTGTTGATGCAACAAAACGAGTGGTCTCCTCCCTGTGTCTTTAAAAAACAACCGTCATGATGTTGCTGTGGGGATTTGAACAAATAAATGATGTTATTTTTCTTCTGATAAAAACATGTGGTGCTGTGCATGTCTGTAGATATCGAAGGAAACCAATGAATAGAATTCCTCGTGAGTGAGAGCCAGTCAATGAACAACGGGCCCATGAAACATTAAAGAGCAATGAATCTCAATTTGAAACTGGTAGGCCATAGCATCAGTCCATGAAATTATGGGAACAAAAGAAGTTCTAATTAAAGATCTATATCTTGGACAGTGTTCAGTCTACTTGTAAGAACCTTTTCTTTTTTGTTTTAGGTAACACTTCCCTACAAAAGTTACTCACATGAAGAGATGTAACATTGACTTTCTTGCCCTTATGCAAAGAGGAATGATCTATATCACTTGCAGCCATGCACATTTTTTTTCTCCTTCTTACTCTCCCTTGGCTTTTCATGCCAGGTCTTCCAGCCATGGTGATTTATCTAAACCCTAGTCTTCAGTCAAGATAAGGTGATCAGCTCATGTAAACAAAATGAAAATACAGCAGTCTTTCCAAAAACATTGGAATATCTTTGGTCTACATGTGTTCTGTCCGTGCTATCTGCCTGTATTTGCGTCCTCACCTGGGCACATCTTATGTAGCGTAGGATTATGTTTTTAGCCACTCTGGTGGGTGGAGGACCGACTCTGAATGTTAAAGAGGCAGCTGAAGCTGAAGTTTGTACACTTCTCAGTGCCAGCTCCTCCCCAAGCTCCACGCTGCCACCTGAGCCGAGCTGTCAGTCGCCAACTCGGGCTACTGTGCTGTGCTTTAATGGTGCAAACGGATAGAAGAGGGAAGGAAGGAAAGATGGAGAGGGGAATTGCAAGGAAAAACAAATGAGGTGGAATACTCGTGTTTGAACTCAGAAGATGTGTCGTTGTGTCGACTGCATTTCTATTTCCTCATTCACAGTCAATGTTGCGCGGTAATGTGCTCCACCAGAATAACAATGCTTCTGTCTATAATAAGTAGCACAAAAAAAAAATCTCACATTCATGATGCTATAGTTTATACTACTGAGGAGTTATTGGATGCCTGTTGGAAGGTTGATTTATTGTTTAGGTAACTGGAAATTGTTTCAAGGTTTCGGGGTTTGACTTACTGGTTGCCATTGTGTCATTTGAGTGAACTATATGAACAGCCACCTTTGTAATAAGTTTAATGCATACAAAGTGATTTGCATTTATGGATTTATAGATCAGTGAGGAGAGGATAGAAAAAAGGAGTGGGAGATGTAGTTAATCAGAAATAACAGTTTTACTCTAATTTAAAAAACGGCCCACACCCCCATTCGCTGTCATAACTTTCTGGTTGTTAATTAAATGCATAAAAACTCATCTCTTAAGTTGCATATGTAGTAAAAGTTTTTCTCCAGAAATAACCCTTTCCTGTCTGACTAAATTATTGCTTCCTCTAGATCTATAAGTCGCCACCTCTCTCACCACCTAGCCCTCCGCGTTCATGGCAGCTCGAGCACAACTGGCTGTAAAACTACTCTGCATTGCACAATGGCAAGTTGCAGTATTTAAGTACTTCAGCCACACGTAAACAGAATAAAGAAGAAGAAGAATGATATGGAAAGTCCCACCCTTCAAGCTGACATTATTGGTTTCTTTGGTTGGTTAAGTGTAAAACCCTGGCTGTGCTTTTGCAAGATCATAGCTTTGACTACTTTTTTTTGCTCATGATATGCCTTTGAGCATATAAAAAAAAAAAAAAAAAACACCAAGTGGACACTTGCTGTTAACTGGACGTGGCCTTTAAGAGGTACACTGCTTCCTTCATTTGCAAAAATACTCTTAAAGTATCAACTATTTTGAGTTTTCCATCATAAATGTTGTGCAAAAGGGTGCACGACAAACCAACATGGATCCAAGTATTCAGTAGAGGTAGAACTATTGGCCTCATTATCCACCAAAAATATAAAACCGTATTCTCCATGAAGATCAATAACCTACAAAATCAAGAAGTGCATTTCTTAACATGTTGATAATTCTGTTGATGCTGTATTTTTTGCAGGAAATTGAGTGAAATTTCCCAACTTTTATGTATGTCTCACAGTAGCAGAAACAAAAATACTGATAATACTACTGGGAACTAAAAGTTAGACGAACTACAGCAGCAAGTTTCTCCAAAGTCCACAGGCAGCAGAAATCAGGAATCAGGAGTCTACTGTAACTGGTACATGAACAAATGTGACAGGTCCCAAAGCTCACAGTAGGTCTTTTTGGTTTCTTCGGCATGCGGGTTGCAGTTTCGAAGTTACTGGAAAAGTGGAGGAGCCTGTACGAAAGCTCGTGTTGAGTCAAATGGAGCCGAGTGTATTGGTTTAGAACTGAACAGTCTCAGCAGCGAGTACAGGTAGGATGAGCCCAAATGGGAAGGCATGTTTCAGCGGTTACCACCTGCACTGTTTAAAACTAAATAATCACATACTATTACATAGTAAGTTTGCCTTAACCTACATAAGGTGAATAGCCAGGAAATTGCAAAATCTTGAATCACGTTTGATATCAGAGTGTGGTATTGCAGTCTCGATTTGTATTAAACTTGCAAAAAGTACCAGTAGAAATAATTCTGTCCGACAAATTTAGCCAGCCTTAATTTGCGCTAAATTGATGTAAAATTTGAAGTGTGGAATAATCCAATATGAACACAACCCTAACCTAAACCTTCCTGGGAATTTTGAGCTAAGAAGTCAACCAGCTGTGTCCTCATCATGTGCCTTAATTTGTTCCCGTTTTTGGCATAATTCATATTCTGGCAATTTGCACAAGGCTTGCTGAGTGACTCAGTACGTTTATGAATATGAAGATCAGGCCACAGCTTTCAATATTGCTATTACTTGGAACCACAACCATAAATCCAAGGGTAATTGAGCCTGAGTGTATTTTTCTGAGCAAGATGGAATAGTGTCAATGATTAGAGACACACCTTCTTGGGCATTTCCCCTGACACTCTGATAGCTTTGTCTTCAAATGTTATGTTAATGTAATCACTAACACTGGGAAAGTGCTGAGTCGCTCTTTGTGCCGTCGTTACAGTCTTTCATGAGTGATGAAGCCATTTGCATTGGAGGCTCAAGAGCTTTGACAAGTACACCTAACAAGTTTTCTAGGCTGCCAAAAACAGTTTTTCGATGGGTAAAGCGCTCCCTTATCTCCCTCGGTTTGTTTCTGTGACTCTGTAGCTCTGTATTTATCGGATTATGTTCTCCGGCTTGCAGTGAGTTACTGTCAAACTTCTGTGAATCCCACTTACTGCTTTTACTGCTTTATCTATTCAGCCCTTAGCCTGTTTCAGTTTTGTTTTTTTTCCCCCCTTCTTCCTCCAATCTGTCATTACTTGCTGCTTACATTTCCTTTTTTTGCTTGTTTCTCCTTTTATTTTTCAATGTCTTTTTCTTACCTTTCTTCACCTTGTCTTCACCTGCTTTGATGCTACTCTTTTTGTAATTTAGAAATCTCTCTCTCTCCATCTCCAGGATGTTCAGATAGTGAGTACGGACGAGAACCAGGTCTTCCTCGCTCTCCAGGAGTGGTACCAGTCGGACACGTATAACCTGTACCAGTCAGACCCCCAAGGCGTCTACTACTCCATCGTCCTGGAAAACGTTCGCAGCACCAAGCAGCCAGAAGAGAACGTCCTCATCGATATCCTGGAGGTGAGATGGGGTTGGGGGTTTTAGGGCACAATCTCCACGGTGCAAAACATAAACAATTCAAAATTGGTAAGTACATGAATATTTGATGCAATTAGATGCTGCAGTGAACACAGCTGAGTCCAACTCTGAGCACGGTCCAAAAGTAAGCTTTTTCTCCTCTGGGGGCTCCTCATCTCAAGTGTTCCAGAAAACAGAGCACACAGAATGAAATTGTGCATTTGTTGGGGACTACATTCAGGTGTGGCTTAGTACAAACGTGTGAGTATTTCTAGCAACAGGTCGGGGTGTGTGTTAATGGTAATGAAGGATTATGCCAACCAGTTTTGGACACACAGACGATACTTTTTCCCGTTTGCTGAATTGATTCGTGGTTGTTTTTGGTCTTTTTTGTGGAATTTGTTGGCATTTAAAAACTGGAGAACATTGCTAGCCTCATCCTTTACTGTGAGTTTATGAAAAAATAGCCCCCATAATATATCAAGTGTTAGGATAAGATGACAAAATAAGGACAAAATGATACAGAAGAAACACATAATTCTGTTTTCAATGTCCAAGTACCAACATGAATTATCTATATTGTACTTGTAGCCAAGCCATTACTGATGATAGAGTAACACAATGTGAAGGCAAATGTAGTCAGCACTGTGAATTTTTTGCACTGCCAAGTCGGTGTGCACAGTTTCAGATATGTGCTTTCTCTCGGTTGCACTCTGAGGTAACTCACCAGTTTGTTGAATATTAATCTCACATTTTGACATCTGCTGGCTTTTGTGTGTCTCTCTTACAAACAAGTCAGACTAAAAAGTGGTGAGGCATAGCTGCAAAACTGAAGTTAAACCGACGTACTTCAGTTAAAACACTGGGTTTCTTTCAGTGACCTGTGGTTTTGTGTGGGTTGTTACAAGCAATGACAAAAAGAAGAGTAGTTTCTTCAATGTGCAGACAGTTCCTGCAGTGTGCAGGAGGTGTACATTATATCATGGTAACCAGCCCATAAGTTATCCATGGAGATCTATTTATCCAGCCATCATTAGGGCCCATGGCATGGTGGTATAAGGCTTCCCAGCCAGGTTCTCTAACCCATTTATGGAATCCAGAGACATACCCAGACTGGATGATATATGCAATCCAGAGTTCTGAGTCAGCCCATAACTCTGCTCCCAGTTAGGTATGCCAGGAATACCTCGACAAGGGAGCATCTGGGAGGCATCCTAATCAAATGCCTGAACAACCCCAGATCCTTTCAGTGCAGTGGAGCAGGGATTGTACTCTGAACTCTTTCCAGGTATAGTATCTGACTTCTTGGTTTGACCCCAAGGGGAATCCGAAACAACTCAGTGAAGAAACTTATCTCACCATTGTTACAGTTAGAAATCAAATCTCTTGGTGGAGGTGTGGATAGAAACGCACGCTGTCATGACAGCAGACTCCACACCAATCCTCCTTTCAGTCTTTTTCCTCCCTCATTGTTGGAAAAGAGCCAACAGAGTACAAAGAAAACATTCACAAAGGTTCTTGTGATGAAAATTTTGATAGCTGCTCGTGACCCGTTTTAGGCCACCCTTGCAGCTATGCAGAAATTAGAATTTTACCTTCAGAGTCTTCATGGAAAAACTGAATTTGTTAAATGATACCTGTCTCCAATTTGGTCCAACCCAAGCCCACAAAAACCATCCTTGTGGTTTACATAATTTCAATAGCCAACCCTACTAACTAGTCCTATGCCTGTGAAGCTTTGTGTTCTTGCATGGGACACAATGCAGTTTACAATGATAGTGGATCAACTATTAGAACTGTTATGTAGAAATACAACATTCAGGCAATTAGAAGGTTTCCTCCACTTTGTTTTACTGCAAGCACTCTTGCATTAATTATGAATACTGCTCAAGGACTGTTGCGTTTGCGGAGCCTCATCTTGAAACCCCTGTGTCCCCCTCGCCTCTATTTCATTCTGTATGGTCTACCACTTGAACAATTGCTCATCTTCGAGTCACCTGAGTGTTGTTGTCAAGGTTTCTGGATAAATGGGAAGAGAGGACATGAAAAAAAAAGTGGAGGGAGAAGAATAAGAGAAGAAGTGTTGGAGGGAAAAAAGAATAAGCCGTGGACCATGGAGGCAAAGGCCTTCGCTGCAGAACTCATTTTGTCCTCCTCTTCTCATCCCTCGCTCTGGGCTGCACTTTCCTCGCATGCTGTAGATAGAGATGGAAAGGCGAACAACAGGCAGTATAGGAGCAGAAAATGCAGAGAAAAAGATTAAGTTCTGAACACACATGGAGAGACGGAAAAAAAAATGCGGGCAGGAAAGGAGAGACGCCAGAAATCCACAGAGAATACAAGCTGGCTTATGCGCTTTGATTTAAACAATTATCTTATTTCTTTATATAAACATCAGCTCTACATAATAGATAGAAAAGGGAGCTGGGGGAGTCTGCGGATGGAGATATGTATGACATGCTGCCTGCCTCTGTTTAAATGTCTGTCTGCGCTGTCTTCATCATCATCTGACTGTTTAATGTTTCAGCCTCAGAGCATGCAGCTTGCAACATCGTAGCCGCAGAAAACCAGGCAGCAATTCTTGATTTCAGTGAATTAAGCTTTTACAGCCTTGCAGTTTCTGTGTCAGTGGTTTTTCTTTCAGTTTCCAAGTAGCATGCATTGCTCTGTATCATACTTACACTTTGGGTAATCAGGTCTTCAACGCTCTTGAGGCGATAATTCTAGTTCTGCAGTTCAAGGTAAGGTTACAACCCAGTTACAGCAGTTTTAATGAAATGAAACGAAAAGGCACATTCATTCTCTTCTAAATATAATGCTGAGTACACCATGTAATCAAAGGCTACATTCCATTTCATCCACAATAGCCTCTGTTCATTGCCGGTGCAAAAAATGTGCCGGATAACTTTAAAGTAGCAGTCCAAAGTTGACCTTAGTTGTTGTCTCGTTCCCTTCAGGTACGTGGAATCAAAGGAGTCTTCCTGGCCAATCAGAAGATCGATGGAAAAGTGACAACCCTAATTACTTATAACAAAGGACGTGATTGGGAACCTTTGGCTCCGCCCACCACTGACATGAATGGCAAACCAGTCAGCTGCAAAGCGGTAAGCAACCCAACTTTTTTATTTGCTTTACTGCCTGCTTTGAAATATTGAGTGTCAATAGAGCTATAAGATGAACTTCAAAGTGAAACTAACTTGAACCAAGCTGTTTTCTTTTCTTTTTTAAATATATATATAGTTTTTGCACTGAGCTGAGCTAAACTAATCAGCTGATGGTTGTAGAGTCACATTGAACAGAGTGAAATGAGTTGGTTATCAGTCCTCTAATCTAACTCTTTGCAAAAGGCTACTTCATGTGTTTGCAAATATATCCAACCGTTCTTATAAACAACGTAATTGTGGTTCTGTTGTGTTGGATTGGGCAGATGAACAATATTCAGGTGAGTGGCATTAATTTTGTCCTGCCATATACTGTCTAGATAGGAATAAAAAATAAAATGTCAAAGGATTCCAAATTGTATCACCTTAAAATTACTGATATATGATATTAAAATTTCTGGCCAATATCGATATTAAGATTCCTGATACTGATATTATCGATATTCAATTTTTGTTCACACCTAAAAATTAGTTTCAGTAAGCACTGTGAGAATGTGAAAACTATTCAAAAGAAGCCCATACCAAATTAGACTGCATAGTCTTCTTTATTATGTAACAAAAATAAAACATATTTAAACATATTTTAACGTATTCAACGTTCAAGTCCAGGACCATTTAAGTAAAAACATCTGTGAAATAGCAGCAATATCAAATGTAGAGACGGAGGCGCTAATGTTAGACAATCATTGGTTTTTGACATCAGCTAAATTTGTTCATCGGACCGATACCGATATATTGGGAAAAAAACACTGATATCGGCTGATATATTGTGCATCCCCTACTGAAAATACTTGCATTCCTTTCACGTTGAACAGTAAGATGCATGCTCTTACTTTAAATTAGATTTTCTGTATTAGAAATACAGGCACCCCAGTAGGATCTTAATGCAACAAAAGTCACGACACCTTTTATTAATGGTTTTCAAATCTTTGTTTTTTTTTAAATACTTCTAGGCATTCAGGATACCAAATTTCTGAAGAGAAGTTTTGCCATTCTTCAGAATTTTCTATTATTTTTTTAACTGTCTTTGTCAGAGGGCTTGTGTTGCGATACCTTTCCTTTTAAAATACCCCAAAGGTGTTTTATTGGATTTCAGTCAGGCAACATACTTGGCCAAGTCAGTGTTTTCACTTTTATCTTCTGTGAAAACCTTTGTGCGATTCTGACATTAAGCTTCGGATCGTTATCATGCTGGAATAAACCTCCCTGTTCACCTGAGTTTCTGCAGACTGCGAGTCATCTGAAAAATGTTCAGGTGTATTGTCAAAAACTCAGGTTCTGGTTTTGGTCCAAGGAGTTTTTTTGTTTCAGCTTTTCAGTGCAGTATACCACATACGACGCATTCAGACTTTGTATCTGTGCACTGTGATGCAGATTCAACCTTGCACAAATAGCAATCTGTCAAGATACTGAGACCTGTCAACCAGGTTGTTCAGAGTGTGAACACAAAGTAAGAGAAGGAGGGATGAGTGTTGCACTTTGAGGAATGTGTGCGAGATGTCTGCTCCAGCTCTGCCATCCATCTTGTCAAAGTTGCTGCCGTGGGGTTACACTGCAAAGAGCAATGAGTCACCTGCAGTCTGATATCCATACATCACACCTCACAGGGAGATAGAGGGGAAGCGAGTCTGGTCCTTTATTTGAACCATCACTCTAGTCAGCTGGCAGATTTTGAAGGGAGGCGCAAATATCAGCTCGAGATTCGTTTGCCGTCGCTGAGACGCGCGTGGTTGTTCGCTCTGATATTGACCTCATTTTCCCTTTAGCCTCATCCATACCTCAACAGAATTACCTTGCCAAAAAAAAAAAAAAAAAGCTCTCTGGGTTGTTAAAGTATCATTCACAGAGACAGCTTTATTTCAAACACTGACATCACACATCGCCTCACTGACATCACAAGTCACCGAGATAGACAAAGCCAGATAGCAGATGTGCTATCTAATGTGGCAGTTTATCAGGCAAACACTGTCAGCTGTATCCATTACCTTGCCACCTGATACAGACCGGCTGAGAGAAATGACCCCGATGCACAGGAAAGGTTTGTCATAATGTCTGCATAAGGTGTGTTGTAGTCTGCTTTAAACCGAGCGCTGAAAAGCACCACAAAGTACTTTATAACCCACAGAAGACTAACTGGTATCGGCTGTTCCTCTTGAAATGAGTTTGCTGTGGCTGTGACAGTGCAAACAGCAGAGTTAAAATGTGCTGCTTTGTCATTATAAAGCATGAGCACTTGAAAAGTTTGCAGTTTCTGTTTCTTCTCATATGTGAGGATTTTAGGCTTTTCTTTTCCCTCTATTATCGTAAGCTGAATATGTTTGGGATTTGGAGAAAACAAGACACCATCCAACACCAAGATCCCCCCAAAAAATTATTACTTCGGGATCTGGTAAAGTTTCACAGACATTTTATTCAACAAAACTGTAAACTGGTTAATTGAGGAAAATAGTTTGTTTATTAATCAGTGGTACAAATAATCATTAGTTACAGTTTTAGTTGAAAAGTCTGAAAAATCATGTGGAAAAAGCAAGTGAAATGTACAAAAACACCTAATAACCAAAAAAGCAGCACATTATAAGATGAATTTAACATACTTAGCACACAGCACATACAGCCAGACACTACCGCCTTTATGCTACACTGTACGGCTCCATTGACCACAATATCAGATACAATATTCTATTTTAAATCTTGACTATAGTTAACCTGAACCTGATCTTAATCCTAACCTTAACCAGTCATGTCTTTAATGCGTAACCTGACCCCAACCTAACCCTAACCACTGCAAGTCATCTGCACATATTCCAGAACATAAAGTCTAATATTTTCCCAACAAATGTAGATATACCCATTGACTGTATATAAAGATAAATGAACCATCTTGCCAATACCTGTCTCTGCCTCACTCAATAAGGAAAGAAGTGGAGAAGAAGCAGAGCTCAGGCAGGTCATGCAAATGTCTCCAAGCCTTGGACTGTCCTGTGATGGTACCAGTCTGCCACTCAAAGCGGCTCTGCCCTTAATTATGCATAACTTTAAGCCTTAATGCAATTTAAATAAGGGAGTTATATAAAAATCCATCCTTCATACAGGTGGGCTGAATAGTGGAATGAACTATACAGATCAGAAATGCTCTTTGTACCAGGCTGTACACATGTTTATTTCAGCTGTAAATTGTGAATTTTAAGATGGGGGGTCTGTGGAGAATGATTCGCCACTGGAGCTAGCCTCAAGTGGCCATTTGAGTAAGTGCATGGTGACATTTGCTAGCTTGGCGGTTTCCACTTAGATATACCAGCCAACCAAACAGCTTTGATGATGAATGACAACTAATCAGGCAGAAATTTGTCATAGTGAGCCCAAATTCATCGGGACTGATGGTTGAGGTGCAGGAACAGTCGACAGTCAGGCCTGCACAGTACTTTACTTATATTACTACATATGACAAAATCAAAGCCGACATGAAGTTCACTCTGGTAGATTACCTAACCGGCAATTTGTCAAAAACATTCTAAAACTGCTTTGGAAAACAGTCCACATTAATGTAATGTACTGTGGGTGATTTCAGTAGGGAGAGTATCTTCACTGAGATTAGGACAGAAAGATCTTGGTGAGAGGACTCCGTCTACATGAAGCCTCTTAAATGATTATGGAACAAAAGCTACTTGTAATTCTGTTGCTGTAAACAGGATCTCGTGGCTTAGACATATGGCAACCTCAACTCTCTTACTGATTAAGTGCAATCACTGAAAACATGGTTCTTGCATTTCTTGGAATGAGATGTGTGAATAGAAACCATCACACTGTTGTTTTTAATGTAGACTTTGTTCATCTCTTGATTTTTGGGGTTTAAAACAACAAGCTTAAGAGAAACTCTGCCTCTGAGTTATGTGCATTGCAAATGTACAATCTGACTCTGTCATTTGGAATGAACTAGCTTCCATTAAACATCTTTTCCACAATACATTTGACTAAGACCACTAAAGCCCCATACTGAGCTGTATTTGCAGTGGGATTATCAGGTATCTGTGTCGAAAGACTCGTCAAACACGACTGAGCAGGTGCAAGTGTTTTCGCTTCACCCACCATTCCACTGAAGTGCCCCTTTGTTGAGACGTATTACTACAGAATACACACTGAAGCACCTCTGTTGGATGTTGGATTATGCTGTCATGTGATTCACTTTAAATTCTCTCTTCATGTGTGTGTTCATGCAGCCGGACTGCCACCTGCACCTCCACCTGCGCTGGGCGGACAACCCCTACGTGTCCGGGACTGTCCACACCAAAGACTCTGCTCCAGGTCTTATCATGGGTGCTGGTGGGTACATTCTTTTATTTTCTTCTTAGTGTATTCGAGGGCTGCAAGGTGACATGGTGGTGAGCACCATTGCCTCACAGCAAGAAGGTCGCTGGTTTGCATCCCGGTGGGGGCACCGAGATCTTTCTGCGTGGAGTTTACATGTTCTCCCCATGCAGCGTGGGTTCTCTCTGGGTTCCCCCACAAGGTCCAAAAATATGTTGAGGTTAATCGTGATTCTAACTTATCCGTAAATGTGAGTGTGCTTGGTTGTCTGTCTCAGCCCTGTGATAGACTGGTGACCTGTCCAGGGTGTCCCCTGCCTTCACCCTCAGTCAGCTGGGATAGGCTCCAGCCCCCCCACGACCCTAGTGAGGATTAACCGGTGTATAGATAATGGATGGATAGATAGTATATTCCATTGGATGGCCTCTTTTCGCACTTACTAACCAATACAATCGATGGTTCTGACTCATTGTCTGCCTTTTGTCAAGAGTTCACCATCTACAGAAGCAGCAACAATGCTTTTGTTTTAATAAAGTTATGAAGAATTTAGCAGGTACCCATAGCAGATATTGACAGCGCACTGAAAAGACAATCATACAGTACAGGAACTTAAAAATAAATAGAGGAGGAGAAGGAAAAAAAACAAAGGGAAAAAACAGAAAGTGAGTTAAAAATTGGCATTACCTTTGAAGGGATGAACGCAAGCCAAGCAACATTGTTCCTGTTGATGGTGGATTGTTTGGTTTTAGCGGTTATTTATACTGAATATCTTTCTCAATGCCAAAACGAGTTTCAAGCCACCAATGAGCCAACTTTTGAAAGATTGTACTCCTTAAACATAAAGCACACAGAGTGAAATAGAGTTAGAACACATAAAATTCACATAAAGTAAAAATATGCTCTCTGTTTTATTTACGTTTTACTTACTTTCTCACCCACATTCACAAAAGAAGAATAAGAAGCTTTATATTTGGGACGCTAGAAAAACAGGCTTTGCAGAAGAAGCTAAGAGTACAACAGAGACTAAGATGGCAGAACTGATTACAAAGTCCAACACACTGAGAGGATGCTGCAAGGTGAAGAAAGGGGAGTTAGAAAATTGAGAAAAAAAAGGCTCTAAGCTAAGAAGTGGTCTCTTCACAAGACAAAGGACGTAATCAGCCAGGGCTAAAGACTGTCCCCTGCAGTGGTGAAACAGCTTCTCCACTACCATGTTTTTCTCTGTTACTTACATGTCGCTGTGTAGTATATTGGATGTTTTTGGGGGGTTTGTACTGTTTGTCAAAGCAGGTTGAAGACAAATCTTTAGGTTCCAGTAAACTTTTGGAAATTTGTCTTATAGTTTGACATTTCATGAGCAATTATTCAAGTTTCCGCCATGGTTCCCTTAACTGAGATGCAACCCCGTCTCAACAAAATTACATTCCAATACAAGTAAATCGTACTCTCGTTTCAAATAAATGTAATTTCTGACCCGTGGTGATGTTGGATAGGGGGCTTGTTTTAAAGTACCGCAAAACCCACATTTAGAGGCAAGAAGGAAGAATGAAGGAATCAACCCAAGACTGGCCATCAGGGTTCATGTCCCATCATGAAGAACAGACTATCAATTTAAAGTTTGGTTTTCTGTCGGTTTATTTTCGCTTTCTGATTTCGCCATCAAAACTACGAGGTTAGGTTGAGACAGATCTCACGCACTGTGAGGCTTTTACATGTTCTAAGTTCGGTTGAGGTTAGGCACCATTGTTGCTTGGTCAGGGTTTGGAACAATATCATGATTTGGGTTCAAATCCAACCTTGTCACAACATGTTTGAAACTTCTCTATTTTCTTGGTTACAAGTCCTAGCCCATCTAATATATGATTGGATTGGAGCAACAGTAAAGCAACATAAATTTCTGAATTTGTGGATTTGTGATGGCTTTATTTATTTTTTCTTTTTAGTTACACCTGCGTTAATGCTCTGCTGTAGAAATTGTATTCCGCTTCTTTGCTTGGGACTTATGAAGTCTTGAATTAGATTTTATAAAGTGTGTGGCAACCCTGAATAACACTCCATTATATGCAAACTGTCCGCGCGACTGAACTAAAAAGCGCCACTCCTCCAGAGACAAACCTCCATTTACCCTGAGAAGGGCTTTTCCTGCCGCTGCAGCGGTGGAGTATAAAACCACACTGCTTCATGCCTGAGCACTCTAACACACAGAGGAGTTCACTGAACCACCAGCAATTTTATTTATTGAATACTTCACTGTGTTTGTTTGCGCGCAGGCATTCCTGACCGAAAGCATAAAAAAAAAAAGAAACAACACATGTACGCAGAAAAAAATAAAAAAAATAAAAAAGACAGAGGGCGGCCTGAAAACTAAATAAAATAAGTGCGTGAGCTGCCTGTGTCGGTTTATGAGATAGAGAAAATAAGCCATATAAGTCATGCCTTTCATTTTCTGCTCTTGCCTATTTCTGCTGGAGAAAAAAAATAGACACACACTCACATAAAATGTTGTTGGAATGACAAAAATAAAAATGGCAAGTTCAATTTAAAATATATTAAAAACTACAAAGCTATAAAGTCCACGTTTGGAGTTTTCATCCATTTTACACATAAACTCATTTGAGGACCAGTTGTACATTGTTTCCCGTGGTTCTAAAGGATCTGAGACACTGATGATGTAGGGTTTAATGAAATATGTTTTTAGGTGGGATCCATTATTTTGAGTGAGAGAAGCCACATGAATTAATGGTTTGTAACATGAGTTCCTGTTATCTTAAATGTGTCGATACTTTGATCCCAGTTTCATTATGTGAGTTGGCTAGGTTGGACTTTTCTACAAAAGTGCTGCTTTCCAGGTATAAAGGAAGTAATTCTGCTGCAAGAGCTCTATTTTTTTTATTGGTCCAGCTGATCCAATTGCATTCCTGTCCTAGGACATCAAATGTGAATGAGGTCTGAAAGTTGATCTGTCAAATCCTCAAACCTTCTCATCCATCTATCAATGACATCTGCTCCATCTGATGGACAAAAGAGGGGATATATTTGCAATGTGCCTTTTGAGGAAACCCACTGTCTGCGAAACATTCGATATTAGCAAGTAGCTACATGTCACATAGGCCTACTCCCTCTCATAATTTGTAATAATTGGAGAGGTCGTCTTTGATATTCATCCCATGTGGAACCAAACCCTATATCGGCACACACAGTAGTCCTGTGACGACATTAATCCCATCTGAATCAACACCTCTGAGTTTTTTTTATTGTTGTTTTTTCTACAATTTTCTTCCACCTCTTCTCAGCTCAAGAATTCTGGACGCTGCATTGGCAATTGTAAATAAAAGTTTGGGGCATTTTGGGCCAAATTAAGAAGATATATGTTGCTACACAGCATGGAGACTCATTCACAAACAGCTCGAATCCATCTGAAGAGAAAGATCAAGAAAGATGTGTCGGCGGATGGCATGTGGTGGCAAGTGATAATTAACATTTTGATGTCTTTCAGCAGGCTCAACACAGGTAGTTTGTGGCAGCCTCTTCATGTAATATCAACAGATCATATCAGTAAATTTAAAAAAAAACACAAACTTCATCTATCTTGTACAAATGAACCTCATGAAACACAGACATCGGGGAGTAGTTGCTAAATGACACGAGGTCCTCAGATGATGCCACTCCCGTGCAAATAGGGCTTTGTTCACTGGCCAAGAACAGTGAATATATATATATATATATATTGTTGTTGCATCACCCAATGGCATTACAGGGTGAATGTGCAAAGGCTGAATCCTGGACAGTCCCATCCCAGTTTGGTGTGGTGCACATGTCATATGGTTTTGGTTTCATTGTTTTAATTTGTGAGGATACTATATTGTCGCAGTAAATTTTTGTTTTGTTTTGTATGTCATAATGCCTGACCATTCCTAACCTTATCAATTGTCTTTTTCTTCTCTGGAAGTAATAGGTTTCCATAAATCTTGTTTTAAAACGTAAAGAAATTGTGCAATACAGTAAAACCCACCTTCATGTGAAATCAACTTCCATCCATTGGCAGACTTGGATCAAGCAAACTCTGCTGCAACCTTATTTTCCGTCTAATTTTGTGAAAATCCAAATTTATACACTTCTCCAAGGCGCAGTCTTCCCTTCTGGTCAATTGTTAATAAAAAAATAAAATAAAAAATAAAAAAAAACAGCAAAGCAATAAAAAATTCTAAGCTAGAAATCCTCAACCTATGTGGCTCCCTCTCTGTTTTTTTTTCTCCAGCCTAGTCTCCCTGCATCTCTTCGCTCTGTGTTCTTCCCTCTGTTTGAATCTGTTATTGTTGCTTGCCTCATGAGCCTTCATTCCTGATGAAATTCTCCATTCTTCATCTTTCCTTCAGGTAACCTTGGCTCCAAGCTAGTGGAGTATAAGGAAGAGATGTACATCACTTCAGACTGTGGGAAGACATGGAGACAGGTACATCACGTCCTTGCTCTTCTTATACGAGTCTTTTCTCTACTCAGCCTCCTCTGCTCTCAGAAGAATCTGAGGAGGTTTAAGATCCAATTTAATATCCATCCTGTTTATTTTTTTTTTCCAACTCGCCACCAGAGCACCAGCTGGATATTAAAGTACTTTTTGCAGCTTATCAAGATGAGCACAAACAAATGATTGCATTCGTAACATCGTTTCCAACCTTTTATGTTGCTTCCTGAAGGTTTTCGAGGAGGAGCATCACATCCTGTATCTGGACCACGGTGGGGTCATCGTTGCCATCAAGGACACTTCTATTCCCCTCAAGATACTCAAGTAAGACTACAATCATGCCACCAAAGACATAAAAGTCCTTAATGCTGTCAGACATTGTTCAATGGGGCTGTGATCATTGCATTATTGGCTTTTTATTCATATCTCTTCGTGTCATCCACATTTGATGTGATAGATATGAAGCAGGTTAACAAAATTATTTATTCTGGTATTGATTGGTACTAGTGGGTCGTCCATTAGGAGCCTCTGGCAGTCGATCCATCAGTGAACCTTTAATTGTATTCCATGTTCCATTCACGGGTGAGAGCGTTAAAGTGCTAAAAATAAAAGGAAAAACTGTAGAATTTGAACGACATTAGAAAATAGAGATCGAAATGGATAGACGACAGTACAGAGACAAGGAAAAGTTGGTCAATAGGTGTTGATCAATGGTCTTATTTTAATCCCATCCCATTCAAAGTCATTTGTAAATACCTGCATAGATGTGTTGCCATCTACAAGCACGTCTTTGAAGTGGAATAATGATGGCAGGGTGTGGTGGATAATAAATGTGCTCTCAGCCAATCAGATCACAGAGACACAGTTGCATCACTGTGAGAAATACTGAACAAAAACATAAAGGCAGCATGTTCTATTTTGATAAATTCTATCCATTCTTTTTAACATAGGGGAATAAGTGTTGGTTGTTCTAATGAACTGCATCTCTACACAACCAAGTAAGACGACATTGGAAATGATAATGGGCAGATCGAGAGTGGGCTTATAGACAGGAAATCTCAAGAAAAGTCTCATGTGGGACGCGTACAGCTAATGAGATTGTCAATGCCGGCTGTCCCCAGTGTTGTCGGACACATCTGTCTAGAGCTGTCTGAAACGATTTCTTAGATGACAAGTGGTGGAGTTGTAGACATTCAAGTGCCTGACTTTGGTCCTAACTGACATGCCAGCATCGAGCCTGCAAACTGCCTGTCATCGTCTTTCTCTTGTCATCTGTGGCACTGTCGATTGACTACAGTTGCATTTTAAGGCGGCCTCTTCTAGTCACTGGTCAAAAGGAGGGTTGTACTTTAAAGCCACACCTGACTAGAGCTGTAGATTAAGTCAGAATGTGTCACCATTTGAACAGCTCTCTAAACACAGAAATGAGATCTTTAACTTTTTCTCTCAGCCAGAAAAAGAGAACCATTTCAATGCTGCATTTGTATTTTGTTCCGGATATTTCACAGTCATCGTTCTGTTGTGTTTTGTGTTCAGAAGCGGTCACATCATAACACAACTGATTAATCTTAAATCAGAAAAGCATTTCAAGTATCAAACATGAAACGCCACCTTTTGCTTGAAAAGGTTACAAAGGAGGCCACGATGATGCGCAGGTTTAATGAGAATGCTGAGTTACAAGCAACCCGTCCGGTGATTATTTTGCAGCCGTCTGATGACATTTAATGAATGCAGTGGATTGTCGGGTGGAATAGCTCTGCGCTCCGGTGCGGCTCGTCTCAAAGTTCAAAAACTGCAGATTTATTAACATAGAGGATGTGGTGGCTGCAGGAGTTTAATGAAGTGAAGGAGAAGCTTTTTATACACAGTGTAAAGCTGGGATCAATATATCGCTCGTATTAATTTATAGATCAGTGCAGATTGATTTACTGGCATTAATCGCATGAAATGTCATTTAACGTCATGCATCTGAGTGTTTCAATCAAATACTTTTATTTACATTTGAAGCTTTCCAAGTATTTCGCCTCATTTTGCTTCAGCAGATGGATGTTTCATCAGAAACAAACGCGCTTCTTTTCACTTCCGTTGCCTCTTTTGAATTAACCTCCATCCTCACTGCCCTGGGACCCAAATACCATTCAGATGGGCAAATTCAACTTCAGAAAAATATCAAACAGTAAGAAGAAGAAGAAGTGTTTGCAGCTTCTCATAATAGCCTAAATGGTTGGTTTACACTAACTTTCTCATTTGCCCTTTTAATTTGAATAAACTCCATCTATCAAAGCCCAGAATATCAGCGCATGAATAGATGCACATATGCTCAGCTATTTCATCTACATTCTGTTCAGATGAGAACGAAAAACCAGTTAGTTCCCAAGTCCAGCACTGTACCCTTCAGCATCATTTAAGATCAGCCCCTTCTCTCCCCCCTTACAGCTCACACAGACAATTTCCAGCTCAGCAAGATGCTATCTCATCGACCTTAATAAATAAGGATGAAATAATGAGAAAGCATAGATAAGGGAGCGCTCAGAAAAACATTTATCGCAGACCTAAATCAAATGACCTTTTAGATGGGCATGGAGTCCTTCACTCCTCCCCCCCCACTCCCCTTATGCCTTGGCTGAATCAATAACCCCAAAGGCTCCAGCGCCATGGAAAGAGCCACAGAGAGCTGTGAAAGTGTTCCGTAACGAAAAGGCTACTTCTTAAAAGTGAAATGAGCACAATTTTTTATCACTTCATTACCCAAAATGACCATAATGTTATCATCCAAGAGTCCTGGCTTCCAAAACTCTCCCTGGCCCCTGCGTTCTGTTCCGCAGCCAGGAGCTCTTTTTTTTCCTCATTGGAGTTTCATGACCCCCCAATAATTCTTTGTTTCTCAACGGTTCTATAATAGAGTCCAGTGTTATGTGTGAGAGCAACGCATTTCAGCTGTGATGACTAAAAGCATTGTTCTCAGGCCAAAAAACTAATCACGGAACAGCAAGTGTTATTCCAGGACTTTGCACATTGATTTACTACATCTTCAGAGCATGTCTCTGCTGGACGTCTGCTCTAATTAGCTGGCTTACTCTTCTCTATTGTAAAATGCTGCTTTCTTGTTAAAGTTGCAGTTTGCGCTTACGACAGGCTTTCAGAGACGGGTCTAAAGTAGTGTCGGTGCTGCAATTATAACTACTCCCCAACATGCAGTATGTCGTAGAACATTTTGTAGCCCTTTTATTGTAATTCCTTAATTATCTCAATGCCTGATTTCTTATTCTTTTTATGGCTGGCATGGCCGGGTTATAAGCAACTGCCTCATAACCCGAGACCTCCAGGGGCCTCACAAATCCTCAGGTTTGCTCTTTGGCAATTGGTTTATTGTAATCTGTTTAATAATATCTTTGTCTGAAAACATAGAAATGCGCTAAAGCACAAAAGCTCCTGATATAATAAAGTCTTAGGTGAGCCCTGCTTAACTACCTCGCCTATGGTAAAATCTAGTTTTAATCCTTGTTTATTTTGGATTATATGTTTCTTATTTGATGCATGTATAATAAGTGTAAGTAAGGCACAAATGAAAGAGACCTACAATAGTATTAGTGGTCGCAACAACCGAGTAACTAGCAACATGAACAGTAAGCAACTTACATAAATCAAAGAAATCTTTTCATCCTTAGCTTCAGCCCAAACGTCTCTAGAGTGAAACAGCACTGCTACAGAGACCAGGCAGGTACATGAAGGCCTTTTTGCATGAAACCCACAAAAAGAGATTAAGACTGCTCAATGAGATCCATCCATCCATTATCTATACACCGCTTAATCCTCATCGGGGTCACGGGGGGGCTGGAGCCTATCCCAGCCGGCTTAGGGCGAAGGCAGGGGACACCCTGGACAGGTCGCCAGTCTATCACAGGGCTACTGCTCAATGAGATGAAATACACAAATATCACACAATAAGTACATTTGAATCTATCACTGTGGCATTACTATTGGAAGTGGGAAGAACATGGGTGTTGGAGCACCAAGTGTTTTTGCTCTGTAACTTTTTGAGCAGTACCCATTAAATGCAATTCCAGTGGCATTTCTACATTGTTGCACACCACTCAGACCCAATATTAAAACCAGTGACAGGTGATGTGAATGACATTGATTGTCTGTAATGCAATGTTCTGCTGGGAAAACTTGGGCACTACCATTCATGTGGATGTTACTTTGACACCCATTGTTGCAACCTAAGCGTACCTCCACATGGTAACAGCACTACTTGACGTCTTCCTCAGCAAGACAGCACCAAAGAGCCCAAGGTGTTGACCCAGCCTCCACACTCCCAAATTTAGTGGTTAGCATTTAGCATCCAGTCAGGAACAAGCTGATGCCAGGATTCCCCACCATAAAACAAACAGGTACCAAAAGATTCACTGCCAGCATTCCATGTCAGACACCACCATGTCTGTTGCTTGATGGGTCAAAACTGTTTTGGTGGCATGAGGGTAAACCAACACAATCCTGGGCAAATGGTTTTAATGTATGTATGTAATGAATTTTCCCATGTAGGATTTTAACTGTGTTTTTACAGACTTTGGAAACTATTAATGCACATAGTGGACATTCTGTTTGCTCCCTTTCTCTTGTGTTTCTTTTTTATGTATTTTTTGGAATTGCGTTCAAACGACAAGTAATGGTTGAGAGATGAAAGGAAATGCTGCTTAAGAAAGGCAGAAAACAACATGTAGCAAAGAATCAAACCTGCCTCTTCTTCTGCTCATGGAATACTCTGTGCCGCCCTTTTGAAAAGCACCTGCATTGGAAAAAACATAGTTGTCTGTAGTACTGGTAACCATAAGTGTCGCCAAATCAACCAGGGTCATGGTCAGACCTTTGTCCACATGATATTTTCTTAATTTCGTTCCTTAGCCTCATGAAATTTTCCATCTAAGTTAAAGCAAAGTGTTTCAGAAGAGACGTGGATGATTTTTTGAAAACTTTTCGACCCCAATCCATGACTTAAATCTTTAAGAGTAACCAACACAGGCAAGTATACTTTCTGGTGCCGCTGATTGATGGTCATTCACTTCAATGTTTGCATCCAGTGTCAACTAAGGAAGTAATGGGCTCTTTTTGTTCAGCTGTATACCAGAGACTACATCTATTATTTGCTGTTGTTGTATTACAATTTTTTTTCTGTCAGTTGTCAGTGAACATAAACTGGGATTTTTCCAAATCCATCAATAATTGCTTTGGAGTGCAAGCACAACAGACCACGCCTATCTGCTATCACCTTTGCAGTCAAAACTTCAGCAGACTTACCTTTCAAACCCGTCAGGGGAGCAATATTTTTGTTCCTTCTATAGGTGAGTTCTTTTTTTAAAATATGAGCTTTCAGTGAGTCTGGGTGGCCTTGTTTAACCTCCCTGACAGAAAGAAGCAGAGCTGATAAAAAGCAAAGAATATAAAGGACAGAGAAAGAGTAATACAGTAATAGGCAAAGATAGATGGAGGACATAGCAAGCTTAGGGAGAGAGTAAGTACTTGTCTGCAAAGAACCCCTTCTTGACCTAAAATGCTTCTTCACTGAGTCCTCCACATTTAGACACTCGTGATGCTCCAAACTATCTCTCCAAGACTCGTTCCCGGGCTCTGCACTGTGTTTGACTCTCCAAAATAATTACACCATGTTCCCATGCGGGGGTAGGATATCTACAACAGTGTGCATCAAAGCAATGCCATTTTCACGGCCATTTGAAAAGCAGTGCATCGAGATTTTTTTTTACAAGTGACTACTGCATGTAGACACACACACTCAGATCATTTCGGATAATTCCCCAGCTCCTCTCATCCACTCACTTGAGCTCCAAGGAGTATTTTTTATTTATTTATTTATTACTCTGTAACTCACACCAGGCATTCATATCAGTTAATTATGAAAAGGTAGTAGGCTGAGGAATGAGATGCTGCTGTAAGACAGCGCATGGACAAGACTGTGTTATGTACATTTATGATTTACAATTAGTCTTATTTTAGGTTTCTTTGTAGCGCTGGAGAAATGAAGTAAAGGCTGGCGTGTGGCATGGAGCATAATTATAAGTTTGACTGCCTAATCTGTTTGATTGCAGGGTTATCCCTACACCCATCTCTCATAATTCTAATAACTCGGATATTAGCTGGAGGAAATGAGATATAATTGGCTGGGTGACTGAGAGTGTCGCCATGTAGGAGGCTGTAGCTGCACAGTTGATTCCAAATAGGTGGTTAAGCACAATTTCACATCTTGCCTGTTTAGTTTAGTTTAAACAGATTCAGGCACATTGCTTGTTTGGTTCTGTCTGTTAGGATGATGTGAAAGATGTCAGTCACACACACACAGGTGCGAACTAAACAACTCGACCAAGACAACCTGAAGAGAAGGGACTGATTCCAAGCAACCTTTGGCGTGATGTGACGATGAACTCCTATTGAATCCATCTGCTTAGTGTGAACTGTTAAAGACCCTACTGTTTTTTAGATCTCTGTTGACACTGCAGTGTACCAATTCTTTCATGGTAGAGACTTGCATGGTAGTATCCTGTATCATTCTTTTCTTCAGATTTGGTTTTCAGATCAAGCATATATGTTTAATTACCCAAAAATATTACTACTTGCCATTGCGTAGACTCATAGGTTATAGGTTATAGTTTCCTCAGCCTGCAGGAAGTGGAAGTAGATGGAAAGGAGGGCACAGACTTTATATGTCCGTACATTCTCTAAAGCACAAACTGGTGTGGAGTTACATCTAAGCCATTTCAAAGCATAAATTTGAGTTATTTACCTCTAAACTTCTAAATATGCCACTTTTCTTCAAAGAGATAAGTTCTTCGGGGTTTAATCAATGCCCAAAAGGAATAAAGCCCACTCTGTGGTGGCGAGATATATCCTGAGTGGACTGACCTCTAAAGGTGCACTGTGATATTTTTCACCAGATATTAGCAGCAGATCATTTAATTCTGTAATTTGAAAGGGGGTGTTTTCATAGATCAGACTTGTTTGAGAAAATGCTTCCACGGGTTCATGGTTGGTTCTTCTTTGGGCCATTGTTGGTTGAGACTCACAACTGCTGACGGGAAGCACCAAACATTTCAGAAATACCCTGACTCAGCCATCTGGCTGTAACTATTTGGCCCTTCTAAAAGTAGCTCCAGCCTTTACACATGTCCAACTCTCCTATGAGACAAAAATCAATATGACGATGTTCGCTTCATCTGTGAGTGGTCATAATGTTTCGGTTCATCTCTGTGGTTGATATATGGGAACAGGTTGCAATAAAAGTCAGTCAGTTATTTCTTAGTGAGTGCGTTGTTACACTAGGGAAACTAAATGGATGCACCAAGCACAATAAAGTGTAGCACAACCTGCTGCCAGTTTCAGATTTTGAACAGAGTGCTGATGATGCAAGATGACATCGCAACAACTGCCCAATCACTGATTTATGTACTCATATAACTTAGTGTTCTTGGTGTTGTACTTTTTGTTTGTACAACGTCAGAATGAACATGAATGGTGCTTGAACTGAAAGGCAAAAATTGTACAATCTCTTTCCTCGGTCAAATGAACTGAGGTGTAAAAGCGGCCTTAGTGCCTCACTCAGGGTTAACTCATCTGTAGTCATAGATGAATGATTGAATCATCAGCATGAAAGACTTTTCAGGTCCCGCTATACTTCAGCCTAACTGGTGATGCCATGTGTTGTCTGATCATGTCTAAGAGCAAACATGTTTATAGCTATTCCAAGTGGCTACACTCAAAGACGGGGAAAAGTGCCTGCCTTCACAGCCTCCTCCTGACTACACCACACTGCGTTTCTTGATCTCTCTCCAACAACTCTGTGTCTGTTAAGTGCCTTCTTTGACATGAAAATTTGGACAGACTCTTCTGGAAACCTCTCGTGGTGTTGCATTTAGTAGTACCCATGAAAAGTTAACGCTAGGAGTTGTGTGTAGAATAAAAAGAAAACTGAGCTTGAGACAAAGCCTGCCTTCTTTCTCACCTGGACGATAGCTGCATTCATTTCATACGATTACAGAGCCAGCCCCCGACTGGTTGTGCCGTGAGAAAAAAGTATTAAAACGCTGTTGGATTCGACTTTGTTCGAAGCCTCACAACAGCATCTCTGGTTGCTTTGTATAGACACTCTGTTTTCTCCTCACTGTGCGTGTTTACCTGCTGATTATCTTATTGTCGTCCTTGTTAGAACATCATTAAAACACACAGCCTGCAGCGCGAGCCACGCGTTGCTCGATTCCACATTGATCCCTCTCCATCACACAGTCACACTTACTCAGCCCTGCTGCCACCGCTGACTGCAGGAGCTGTCGGCATCGAGAATAAAGCAGAGCAGATGGCTCTTCTTGTTTGTTTCTTTTTGAGTTAGTATCGAAGGAAACTCGAATACCAAACACTGTTACACAAGAAGGATGATCTCATTATCAGCAGACATGTAAAGAAGCACTTGATTTAAAATGAATGTTATTTAGATCATTTGTAACTTTTCTACAGATTGAGATGCTCGTTGGGCCAAAGTAGAGTTTTGTCACATCATCAAATATATTAATTGTTACCAAGATAAGGGGAAACTATTTGGCAAATGTGCTTTTACATAAAACTGGCTTGGTTACACTTACCCTAAACCTACCACCTTTGAAACTTCTTAAATGTCAGTTGGACATAAAAAGAAGTAAATGGTCAACTCCCTTTGGCTTTGTAATGTAACCAATGATGGTTCCATGTTGAATGTTCATGATGGTGTACATTTTGTCTTTCTCTTCAGGTTTAGCATCGATGAAGGGCGGACGTGGAGCGTTCACAATTTCACCAGCACCTCTGTGTTCGTCGATGGACTCCTGAGCGAGCCCGGAGACGAAACCCTGGTTATGACGTGAGTGGAAACTAAATTTCAGCAGATAAAAATGTTCATCGTCAGGAGGGCTGCTCCAACAGTGAAACACAGATCTATTTGGGTTTAGCTGAATTCACTGAAAATTGTATAAAGAGCTCCAAAAATACTTACAAATATAATCTTCCATTCAGTAATCTAGTATAAATAACAATATATTCAGCCGAGAAAGCTACGTAGATACAGGTGTGAAACACATGGGCCTCCAGTAGTTTAACCCTTCTGTGCTCCCCTCGCACTCTCTGTTTGCTTCTAATGAGTTGTCAGAGAAGGTCTGTCAGACTGTACACCACATTCAAGACAGCTCAAGTTTCTCTTCCATCACAACAATTCCCTCTCGATCTGTTGGAGCGCAGCGCCCAATTTCGTGGCGCTAACAACAGCTGGTCTCACTCCTGATTTCCTGCAGAGCCCTTCTCTCTTTCCTGACCCCCAGATTGCCATTACAGCGGAGGTTGAAGGGAGATGGGGCCCACAAATGCCCCCTGCTCTTGCCTCCCTGTCTCGCTTTTCGCCTCTCTGATATTTTATTCCGAAGGTTCTGCTCTGTATTTGTGCGCTCCTCTGCTGGGCTCTTTGCCAGGCACCACCAGGCTTAGACCGGTGCAGAAGTCTGGTCCAGGTTCTTTTATTCAAACTAGCACATTGGTCTTCAGTTTTCATACATTTTTCATGTGGAAGATTGCACATATTTTAGTAATGATCAATAGTAGGCCTCCACAAGTTATTTATAGGAATCCAGCCCCTTAGCCTTAAAGTATGCATGAATATGTTAGAGAATTAGCATTTTTTAGCCACACCAGCAGCTTGCCTGTAGGTATTATCTGTACTCCAGAGTGAAATACTTTGACTGTTGGACTGATTTAATTATGCAGACATTTATATAATCCCCAAAAGATCAATCAAAGTGACTAGTGATCCCCTGACTTTTCATCTGCCACATTAGCCAATGGCTCCATTTGTCCAAGACTTGAGGTCAGGGCAGCATAGTCTACAAACCAATGCTTCAAACACCCTCACTGGGCTTAATGATTAATGTTAAAATGTTAATTCAGCGCTATCATAATAAATAAATTCCCATGAGCAGTCGTGATTGGATTTTAGAATGCAACAAGATAATGAGCAAAACAACATACTAAGAGTTTGACGTACTGGGAATTAACGTTGAACATACTAACCGTGAACAGGTTTAACATGCTAAACCATCAATATACAAACATCTAACCTTGCTGTAGTATCTGTCCTAATCATATCCTCTCCATAATGGCCCTAAAGCAGCATTAGCCCTACACATGGGTCCAAAGGGATGTCCACATTCTTTTATCTGTGGCACAATGCTTCCCTAGTTGGCTCTTACAGCCCCAACAAACATGCTTTCGGTTCAAATTCACATCCCTTCTACTTAGTTAAATCGCCCCAGAAGTATTGATTGCAGCAGATTGTTGCACATATCAAAGAAAACTGGTCGCCGTCACCTTCTTAGCATTGCTTGTGATGAAGTGTTGGCTGAGAAAAATAAATGTGCATTTACATTAAATGTATTCACAGTTACAACCTACAGGCAGCTGTCCACACTCATTACTTCTGTGTGAATAGCTTATGAACTTGTCATTGCATAGATATGTTAACATCCATGCTTTGACAAGTTCATAAGTAATTTATATGAGAGTAATGCATAGACATGTTAAAATCAATGCAATGCAAACACTGCATAGATATTAACGTATTTATGCCATAATATGTCAGTATCATGTCACAAGGAAGAGCAGAGCTGGAACTTTGTAAATATGCATATTTGTACATACCAGAAGTACTGGAACCAAACTTCAATGTTTTTCTCTGCAACAAAGCTTTGTGGAGTAATCTAGTTCTGAAATTACAGCAGACGTGCAACATTACTTCCGAATTTGGATAAAAAAAAAAACAAAATCACGGATTTGAGTTTCATTGCAATGACCAGTTAAATCTGTGGTTAAAAGACAAGAGCAGGTCACAACTGTGCACAAATAGTCAGTGGCGATCTTCAATCTTGGTGGTCCAAGGTAAAGGTTTTCCAATCCTGCAAGTAGGCTACTGTATGTAAGACTTTAGTGACAAAAATATTGACAGTTATTTCCGTTAGACACTAAGTACGTATTTCAACCAATGTCAAAAAAGCATCCCAGATCCCAGAGATTTAAACTGTTGGACAAAAAAATCTGCAAGTGTTCTCATATTGAATGATGGCAGATCTGGATACCCCTGACATACAGCATGTATGGTTAGTCCTTAGAATGGCCAAGATAGGAGTTGGAGAAAGTAGTAAAGGTAGTGAAACTACCCTGAAAATAGAGTAGGCCTCATAAGGTCAAAGCTAACATAAGGCTTTTCCAAATTGAGTGGGTATCTTTGTCATAAGCTTTTCCCAACAACAGGCCAACATGCAACTACCAGGAATCATCATCCTCTGCCACAAAACTTAAACTTTTGATGGTAACCCCTCAATTGGATTACTTCAGAATGAAGAAGCCCTGTATTGTCTTCAGCTGGACAGATTTATGGTCCGTCTAACATTGTAGAAACCCAACTGGAAACCCTAACAAGCATTTTTTAGCTACTAATGGATCAGATTGGAGGATAGTAAGACTTTATTTGATTTCTAGTGTTATCAGGAGCATTACGAGTCTGCTAACGTGGCTCTAGACTTATAGTGTTGCCATCATTGTCTCACACAAACCTCAATCTGGGGAGTTCTTTGACATGAAAATGGTCAAAATTAAGAACCCTAAATGCTGGCACAAAATGTCAGCGCATCAGCAGCTTCAGACCCAGACTGTTCGGCTTCAAGAGTTCATATCTTTTTAGGCACAAAGTCTGTCTCTCTCTTTTCTCCCAATCTCTCCATCAGTAAGTTAGCTGGAGTGAGACTTGTCACATCATCTCAGACTCCAGGCCTTGGCGCACAGATAAGGCCGGCTTCCAGCTGTAATCCGCCAAGAAGGGCAAAGAGATGGTCACACACACACACACACACACACACACATAGACAGGCACACGAGGGGGAGAAGCTTGAACATTTAGACTCACTCACCAGTATCTGCCATGTCAGACACACACCCTCTGGGTTGACACACACACACACACATATAAACTTTGCCCATCTGGCTCCAGCGAGATAGGGTCGGCGGCCAAGGAGGGGTGTTGAGGGCAGCTCATGTCTGACAGATTAGCCAGGGTCTATTTCCTTGCCACGGAGTTTCGATTTTTGACGGCACAGCCTGCCATCCCATAATGAAGTCTTTGAGCAGTGACTTAGCACCAAGGACAGGTGGGGGACCAGAGCCCGTCCACCACTCATACTAATGACAGCTGGTCAAATATCAGAGACTGCACAGACTAACAATGGGCTTCTACCGCACATGCCGCTGTGTGAGATCATCATGCCAGCTCGTTCTGCTGCCGCTAAACCATTTGGCTCTCCAAGTTTTCCTGCGCCACGCACCCCGAGCAGCGTACTTACACAAACAAGTGAATCTCTGCCTCTAATCTCGTTGTGCACCCACGAACTCTCCTGGAAATGACTTCCAAACAAATTCCCGATCCTGTTTTCTCCTCCTTAGTGTTGTGTTGTTGTTTTTTTTAAACAAGAGGAATTGTTAATGAGTGTTGATTTGTTTTCACTGAGCTGATTGGAGTGTTGTTTGTCCACTAATAGAGCTCTTATGGCTCTTGAGTGCCTATTCAAAAGTTAAAAAAAAAAAAAAAGTGCTAAATTAACTCTGAGGCTGGTGGGAATTAATGTATAAACAAAGCAATAGGAGTTAAAAATGTGCAGTCATTAAATTGCTGAGCACATGTAGGGTAGATAGATGAGTGAGAAAAAAAATATGTCTAGTTGTTTTGGGTTATTATGCTGGAATCTGAGGAATGTGACCCATCTGCATGAAATCATTGCGCCTGACAGCGATATATGTTACCTACATGTAAAAAACGACTAAATGGACCGATCTAAGTAAGAAACTCAAAATCAATATTTTATCATGTGTTAACATAATTCAGGCTGTATCTCAGATATAGCCCAAGGCGCAATGCCACTGCAGATGGGTCACATATATGCCTTGAAATAAAATTCCAACTCAAGTCAAACTTTCCAGAACAGAGAAAAGTCGGATTCAAAATTGGACCTTGTGGTTCCAGCAAAATTAACTGCACAAACTCAGTCATGTTTAAAAGGCTCCACAGTGGAATATGACTGTTGGTGAATAAGTTTGATGCACATGTAATTTTAGCAAAGGACAAAGAAGAAGCACTGTACACTGTTCAGGTCCTGCTTATTCAAATCAGCAGTCAAAAACGTAACAAACTGAACATTGGACGTGAAGATCGAAGTCATACAGGGGGAAAAAAAAAAAGACTCCAGATGTTTTGACATTGTTGCCAAAAACCATTTTATTCAAGAAAAGTGGTCCATAACTAAACTGGCAGATGGTCAAGAGGACAATATAATGTAAGTCTCGATAAATGTGCTTTTTTTTTTTTTCTCCCATTTCTTTTTTTTTTTCTGCCTTTTTTAGAAAGCATTAGTGGAGTTACAGACAATAAATCAGGAGCACAGATGGTGTAAGCCTTTAACCATCAGGGCACCAAGTGCTCAAACCTCCAACAAAACAATCTTTATGTAGATTGAAACATCTAAAGTGACGATAAGAGAATTTTCCTTGGAGCTACTGAAGGATTTTTGATGCCTTGACAAAATTTGTCCTGAAAGAAGGCCAGAAACTGTTACTTTCTGCAAAATAATACAGAAAGTAAACAGGATATTTATATTTCCAACAAGTTTTTGTTTTCCTTATTTGAGCTTCATCATCTCACTGGATTCTCTTCATTAGCAGTTGTTTAATTATTTCTGTTTAAGAAATTTGTCTTTGGGTAACTCTAAGCTGCCATAAGTTAAGTTCCTTGCCAGTTGTACCTGACTCTGGGTCCCCCTCGCAAGGTAATCTGACCCTGACCTGTGAAAAACTTTTTGCAATTTAAGAGAGCTCACATTTTGTAAGAAGCAAGAGGTTTTTGGAAATTTTTAGACGATAATGGTAGAAAAGTGGAGGTAAACCGCAAAGCAGTTGATGAACAACAGGAATGAAAGAGGTAAAAAGAGAGAGAAGGTGGAGCGGGAGCATATGTGAGTCCGCAGCTGAAACATCCATCACTTCCCTTTAATGATGGCGGTGAAGACAGCATTAGTCATGCTCGCCTTGCACTCCAACGAGGTGATCGCAGGCCGCCACCGGCACAGCAACATATGTCGGAGTCGCTGACTTGAGTCACATCAGTCTGCCTCGAAAAATTGCTCTGACTGACACACAAGGAAAAGACAACCGCTCTCAGGAATGGGACCACCTGTGTTGCCCTGTAGAACATCACCATCTAGTGGAGAGGAGGAGGAAGTGTAGCTCCGTCAGACAGCTTCATCTCTTCATGAGGAGTTTATTTATGCTCCCAAAGGAGAAATTAATCCACATGTAATGCTGCAAGAACAGTTTAGGTAAAGATTGCTCCGTGTTGAAAAACGACATCATGTGGATGTCAAAGTGAGCCAGATGTTGTACCACTGGACAAATACAAATGGATGATGACTTGCAGAGTCTTCAAAAAGAGGGGATTTGGGAATTGAATGAGGTTTTCCAGTCCTGACTAATGGTTTTCCGAAACTCAAAAGCAAGGATTCGGGAGCACTGATCTCATTCAGCAGCTGGGTTCACGGTGGATTGAAGACTTAAGAGGTGAATATACAGAGAATGATACAACTGTATCACTAATCAGCTGAAAAATGCTTATTTGCATTATAAAATGGCTTAGAGGTCGCACTAATATACAAAGTCCAGACACAAGTAGATACACCGATGCAAGCTGAAGATGTGTGTGAAGTATCATGAGGCTTAATAAATGTACTTCTTACACTAAGGAAAGATGACGCTGGTGGGAAATTTTTAAAAAAATAGAGCTTTTATGTGACACCCATGGAGGCAGACGGATCCTTACAGGTGGCAAAAACTTTACCAAATGCTTAGCAAACCTTCTACTTTTTTTTTCTTTTAATGTTACAGCGTAGTCACCATCAGAGTATTACATTGTTATTTTTATACATGTAAAAACTATTACATGAACAGGAATATGTATGCATGTCAAGCCACTTGAAAATGACTCAGAACTTTATCCATCCATTTATTTTTTTAACCCTTTTTTTATTCTTAAGGTCAGAATGATTCACAACAACGTGTTTTCTTTTCTACATTGGAAAAGACACAAATGTTAGAGGTTGAAAACAAAACATACCAGTCTTATTATTTTGGTTGATTTTGTGATGACCACTAACGAACATCCAGACGTCCTCAAATGTATTCAGACGCTTCCATTAAAGAAAAGACAAAATAGTCACTCAAATAAAAAGAAACTGAAAAAAGTAATAATAATTTTTCTAAAAACTTGCTGAATTTGAATTTTGTGAAGTAAGACATTACTTTTGATTGTGGTTGAAAAGAATAATTTAAAAAAATCCACAAGACTGTCCCAGACAAATTAGAGCACTTTGCTGATGAGCAGTGGGCCAAAATCAGAATACCTGTCAACAGGTGCAGAAGTTTGATTGAGAGTTACAGAAAACACTTGAGTTGTTCAACAAAATATTAGTTTATGGGTCCCATCATGCTTGGTTGCTTGGTTTTTTTGCTGTTTTTGTAAATATTTCTGTTGAACCACTATTCTAAAGCAACGTCATGATTTTCATTACACTATTATTTATTGTTACTTTTGACAATTTCAACTTATTTCAGTGATATCTTTTTTTTTTTCCTTCTTTAATGGGAGGGTATGAATACGTTTGAGGACGACTGTGGCAAACAATGGGGAGGTCGTATTCCAGTCCAGGATTACTGGTTTGTTTTTGTCGCTTTGAGCAAAATGCATTGATGCTGCCTGAAAGAATGTTTCTCATTTGAAATAGTTTTCTATTAGCTTTTGAATCTTAAAACAGACACACACCTTTTTATTAAATTTAATCTGTTTCTGATTACTTATAGCGCCTGATTTTGATTTAGCCTTTTGACAAAAATTGGAATTAATTTGTTAATTTTCAGTTTAGTCATTTAAAAAATATATATATTTAGTGTAATTTTAATAAACAAAAAACTGAAAACATTTTCGTCCGGTTTCGTCAGTGTCATTTTACTTCCATTTTTGCATTTTTAATTAGTTGAAATCAGCACTTTGAGGTCACCATCCCTGTGTATGGTTACCGTGGTTACATGCTGGAAAAGGCTCAGAGTGCTCTACGGTGATATGAAAGATGGACTCACTAAATCGTTATCATTAGATAGCTGGTGACTGGGTTTTATTTCATTTCCATGCTTAACAACCGTATATTCATATATGGCTGCTTGTGTGTGTTTGTGTGTTGGCAGTGTGTTCGGTCACATCAGCTACAGGTCCGACTGGGAGCTGGTCAAAGTGGACTTCAGGCAGTCTTTCCCCCGTCAGTGCACTGAGTCTGATTATGAGTCTTGGCAGCTCACTGACCTGCAGGTAATACACACAAACACAATACAGACACATACTTACGCTTCATGGAAGTTTTCTTAGATATGCCTTTATGAACCAATGCAGGACAATAAATTCTACTGTTGTGGGATTTAGAATGTTCAGCTTTGGGTGAAATAAATTCAATTATACATTTATTACTGAGGTCACAGCTGCAGACTTTATGTCACAGCAGTCGTAAAGGGTTGCGTTCGATTGTAGTGCACACAATAATTTTAAGTGTTCGTGTGTGCTTATGTCACCCTCAGGGAGAGAAGTGCATTATGGGCCAGGAACGGACTTTCAGAAAGAGAAAGGACACGGCGTTCTGCATCAAAGGGAAAAGCTACATCTCTGCTCTCACCAACAAATCCTGCCAGTGCACCGAGAAAGACTTCAACTGGTGAGCCACGGATTTTTAGAAAACACTGAACAGAATTCAAATCAGATGACATTTTCTTGGATTATTGTAGATTAAAACCCGATTACACAGAGTGCCAGTAACTATATATTGAATGAATAAGAATAAACCCCAAGTGGGCAATGGAACATAATGATAGTGTTTCAGAAAACAAGTCTTTATATAGATGTAACATCACTATGGGAAATATTCATTTCTGATTGGCAAGTGCTATAAAACTCTGTGCATCATATAATAAAGTGAAGCTGTAAGCATATTCACAGCTACATAATACATTACCCCCAATGTCTCTACTGTGTCCATTACTTTCTTAGGCCAGAATTTTGTTGCTGCTTCCATGAACATATAGCAATTTTCAGAACTGTGTGTCTGTGTTGTGTTTGTAGTGACTATGGTTTTGAGAGATCCCACACGGAGGGCGAACGCTGCTTCGCTGACTTCTGGCACGATCCAGATTCTCCACCCGAGGACTGTCATCTAGGACAAAACTACGAGTCCAGCACTGGGTCTGTGAACACACTCACACACAAAGAGGCTTTAATGACATGAAGTATCAAGAAAAATATTGGCAAGGCATCTAACTGCAGTTCATCCAGATGTATGGAGAGTAGACAATAACACTACCAGAACATTAATGCAGCATTAAGATTTGAGACCTCCAAAATATTTTTTTTTTGCCACTGATTTGATACAAGTAATTTAATACTACATATCTGCCGATACCAAGTTTCAATCTTTTAATCTGATACCATTTTCCTAGATAATACACACTTCAAGTACTGTAGGTCAGCTGTAGTATCTGCTTATGCCACCAGGTACTAGAGCCGTACAGCGCTGTAGCAACCAGGAGGCTGTCACACGGACTGTGGCGGCTCTGTTTGCTAAGCAGAAAGCATCAGGGAGGTTGAGCTAGTAAAGGGGCAGCATGATGAGATCTTTGGGGACGCTTAGTAACATCCAGCAAGCGCATATTCAGTATGTTAAATCAAGCCAGGATTAACTAGGATAGTGTTTTAATATCCTAGTGGTGCATTTAGCAGCTGCCTTGGTGGCCAGAATGTGTCTGTGGCTTAAAATAGCAATACAGCACAGGATAAGTTTCTAATGTACTCACATTGTTGTACAAATTAATCAATTATGGATCGATTATAGTGCTGTCATTAGGAATCCTTTAAAGTTCTCAACGCCTGCATGGCAGCAAACTTAAATGAAGGATTGGACTTAGATTTGTGTTAAAGGTGATCAGTTAAAAATAGTTTTTAATCTGAAATTCCAAAGCTGAACGTTCAAGTTAATGTTCCTCATTTCATTGTAATCGGAATACTGACAGGACCGACATATGATGTGGTTACTGTTGGCTTAATTGTTAAAGTATTTATTTAAGAATTCTGTCTTCACCTTCATGCTCACACCTGTACGATCCTCTGCTGTGTTTCAGCTACAGGAAGGTGATATCTAACATATGTGACGGGGGACTAAACAAGCAGCAGAGCACAAAACAGCACAGCTGCCCCCTGTTGCCGCCTAAAGGACTACAGGTTGGCATAAAAGGGCAGATGCTGGCTGTGGCACCAGGTGATGACATCACATTCATTGTCCACCAGGAGCAGGTAGGATAAAGGTTGTTTTTGGTTGGTTCTTCCTTCTTAATTTGATCTAAAACAGTTTAAAGTCCTTGTTCCTTCCCAACAGGGCGACACCAGCAGCACCAAGTACCAGGTTGACCTGGGTGATGGGGTTCGGGCCATTTACCAGAACCTGACGGTGACAGATGAACCCATCCAGCACCGCTATGAAAACCCAGGAGTCTATAAGGTCACAGTGAAGGCTGAGAACATGGCAGGACACGACGAAGCCACCATGTACATCCAGGTCACAGGTCAGCCTCCCAGTAACCATCTTTTTCTCTTTTTTCCTTTTCAGGTGATAGTGAAGTTTTTGATTTCTGTAGTTCTCAGCATCAGATATCACACAACCTGTCAGTAACCTGCCACTCCTTTGATCTGTATTTCTTTTAAGGGAAAGGATGATGAAAACACCCTTCTGCAGTCAGTTCATTCATCTCTGATATGTCTAACTTTGCCAAATACTCATCCCCTGCTGTTTAAGGAGACAGGTCGGAATCTTACTTCAGTGGTAGCTTTTAATTTTTTACTTCCCGAGCAGAAATGATTTCCTGCCATTTGTTTGACGGCTCTGTCTCAAAAACTCAAAGTGTTGCTTTGTCTTTGTGTGTATACACTGATCAACCATATTATTAAACCCCTAACAGGGAAAGAACACTGATTATGAGGCAGCAAGTAAGCAGCAAGTTCTTGAATTTCATGTAGGGAAGCAGGAAATATTGGCAGCTTAAGGATCTCAAAAAGAGCCAAATCCAGAAGACTGGATCTCCAAAACAGCAGGTCTTATAGGGTGTTCCAGATATGAAGTGGTTACGATAACCACTGAGTCTACAACAAGTCCATGGGCGCTCCAGACCTAATTATGCACATGGAGGTGGAAGGCTGATACATGTCTTCCAATCCAGCAAAACATCTGCCAGAGTACAAATTGTTAAAAAAAAAAAATAACAACAAATCAAACAACATAATTCTGGCTGTGATAGAAGGTACTTCCTCTCTGTGAGAGTTGCAGACCAATCCGAGTGCCCATGTTGACCCATGACCAATGCTGGAAGTGCCTACCATGGGCATATGAGAGTCAGAACTGGACCATGGACCAAACGGACATGTACCACCAACCTAAACAGTGTTGTTTTAATGGCAGCAGTACTTCCTGATGACACCTCTTTCAGCAGGATTATGCTCCCTGACACTTCAAATATCATTCAGTGATGGTTTGAGGAACATGACAAAGAGTTCAAGGTGCTACCTTGGCTTCCAAATTCCTCAGGTCTCAGTTCCATGCAAAAACAAGTCTAATCTATAGATGCCGCACCTCACAACTTCCAGGACTTAAAGAATCTGTCGCTAATGTCTTGATGCCTGATATCTAATCTTGTGGTGTCAGAGCTAGTTTGACATCATGCGGTGGGGACACAATATTTGACAAGAGGTCTCAATGTTGCGGTTGGTGTAAGCTGACCATTAAAGATCTTCTGAGCTGTCTTTACTGTAATACAACATTTAGTTAGCTTTGCAATATTTTTTGTGAGACTTTGACCTGCAATGTAAGAACATTCATATTCAATTTATAGTGTTTAAATTAACTTCATTTAGGCTTTATCTAACGAACAACAACATTGTTTTTAATCTCTTGCAGCCCCTCTACAGGAAGTGCACCTGGAAGTGGTTCCCATCGCTGGGAGAAACCATGAGGTCAACCTGACAGCCATAGTTCTTCCCACTGAGGCCAACATGACTGTTTTTTACTGGTGGATAGGAGACAGCCTCCGGGTAAAGGACACACCGCAAATGTCATCTTACAACATTGACTAGCACTGTTTTATTACAGCTGCCTATGTTTAGCAAAAAAAAAAAAGCACACTACAAATGCAGCACACACAGTCATAATAGAATTCCCTTGGAGTCATGGTTGAATTCACTTCTTGGATTTAAGTTCTTTTTTTTCTCCTTTTAGCTCTGTTTTGTTCTCAACCAACCACTGAGGAAAATGTCGGACTCATTAACTGCTGAATGTTCACTTGCTAGTTGTTAGCATTGTCTGTTTGCCATCTGGGTACAAAAAGGAACAATGGATTTAGCACAGCGTTCTTCCTGAAAACAGATGGCCACTGCAACTGGAAATAAAGTTAAGGAAAGCATAGTTGGGGGTCTGACAACCAAAACAGTGAGCTAAAATAGACTAAATGGTTTTATCAAGCGAAGGCAAACAGGTTCAGGTGATAATTCCTTGTTGGTCCATCACTACATGCAGCACTTTTCACATCCATCTGATCCATTTTTATATATAGAACATTTTGCTTCTGCTCCCAGACCTTCCAGACAGGCTTTAGCTAACTTATGACTTTCTCACACAGCCCACACTGACTCTGCGGAACAGTCTTCTGACTCGTTTTCCAGACACGGGAGAAGTTTCCGTCACCGTCCAGGCTTCCAACGGCCGATCCATGGTGCAGGACACCAGGACTGTCCGAGTCTATGGTAACACAGTGACATTCTCATACTGAATGTGTTTGTTTTATCATTGGGCTATAAACTATAATGACTGAAGACTTTAGATTCAGAAATAAATAAACAAGTGTGACATGGAGTTTTGGTGAAGGTTGTAGTCACCTATTAGCCATAAGATAAAACACTGAATTACTATATTGATTCCTACAGACAATACATAAAAGAAAAAAAGCATTGCCTTAAAGCTTAAATCTTTAAACATGACAGTTTATTCTAACCCTTAGAAGCAGTAGCTGGATTTTTTTATTTTATTTTTTTAAATCTATTGAGGCCTTCATGTTACTTTGGCAGTTTCAAGAGCTTTCAACTGCATCTCAGGAGATGGAGTTGTCAACATTCCTCAAGCAAAAGTCAAACTTCTACAACTATTCCTGGCCTATGACTCATTCAGACACATCTGAGACAAATCTGCTGCCTGACATTTTTTCCACTGTTGCCTTAAAATATTGTGTGATCTCAGCTCTTGTTGTTGGTAAGCGAGTCAGAGGATGAATTATGTCAGATTTCTTTGTTAGAAACAGATGTGCTTGTTTTATTTATAAGGTGCAGGCTTTTGTATTTGAGGAGAGTCAAGAAATGTCACTTTAAACCTGAATGATGACTATGAACCAGTTCAGTTAGAATAGACGATTGTGATTGTAGTAGCATGGACCATATGATTCTGCTCAGATTGTTCCTGTTTCCTGTACACACTCCTGTACATCTTTGTCATATATGCCACCAAGTTACTTCCATCGTGCTAACAATTCACTTACTGTGGACTATTTTATACTCCCGTGACAGTTTTTAGATTTGCATCATAATTCCAAATCTAAACATGATTGTTGACTTTTCCTTCAGATAACTTCCAGGTCGTCCCCCTGAGCTTCAGCAGGAACCTGGACCGCTTCAACCCAAACATTCCAGAGTGGAGAGATGACATCGGCCAGGTGGTCACCAAAATATTGGCCAAGGTACAAAGTGAAACAACAAAATGATGAGGAAGTGATTTCACAACAACACAACCTACATGCTAAAAAAAAATGTTCAGAAAAATAATGGATCTGGTACAGAAAATACATCTGTTTGTACCGATGTCTACTATGGATCAGAATAATATAGACGGAAAATAAAAATGTCATTCCTTAGGTGTTGGTATGCCAATATGACCTTTGACCGTCTGACCTCAGATCACAGGTGTACCTCAGGAGTCGCTGGTTACGGTGGTAAAACCAGGCCTCCCCACCACTGCTGACCTCTACGTCCTCCCACTGGACAGCAAACCAGCCAAGAGGAGCATGTTTGTAGACAAGGTACATTATACATGCAGATATTTACATTTTTGTGTTTATAGTCTTTCCCTTCCATTTCTTGGAATACAAAGATATAAGGAATAAAATATGAGTATCTTTCCTTAAGTTAATATTTTCTCATCTTTAGCGTATTCCAGCCATCATGCAGGCCTTCAGTGACAACAACGTCAGCTTCGTGGTGCGAGGAGGTCTACAAGTACTGGTGATGCTAGCTGACCCGAACGCAGGTACGCTTTGCCGTGTACTATACTGCATTACTTCCCATTTAGAGCTGCCATTAAATATTTTTTGAATGATAATTGCATGTTTATTCCCAAGGACTAGGTCTTATTGCTAATGACTCAACAACCACAGCGGCAGAGAATGGTGCGTTCATGAACAAAACACCTGCAGCTTTCCGTATGAAAGCATCTAGCCTCCCCACTCTAGCTTCAGCTTTGACTGCTGTGCCTTTTCCTTTCCTTGTTTTCCAACCATTCAAAATCCTTTCCGGTCTGAGCCTGCCTGTGTCGCGCTATGCTTTTACCACCTGATTACCTATCACTGTGTTCAGAATGGTTGAGTTTTCTATATAAGGTGGCTTCTTCCTTACAGACTTGTGGTTTTGAACGTCTCCGATTTCTGCCTCTCCTGTCCCTCTGCTTCTGCTGTTCTTGACTCAAGATTTTCTTCGTCCTCAGTGTACTCTGTGGATTTGCCTATAGCAGCACTGTTTCATCAATTTTTTATCTCTGATTGTACAAACATGATGCATTCTTCACTGCTACGTCTGTGTATGTATCGTCACACCAGGCTACCACGGAGCAGCGGGAAGTCCAGGTGTTTGGGCTCTAGCAGTCATTTTCCTAATCAGCATCATTGCAACTGGCTCCTTCATCCTCTACAAGTTCAAAAGGTGAGTTATGTCACATTAAAGAGATGTGGCATTTCAAAATAGAAATTGTAGCATTTTCTTCTGCTTCTTAGTGTTACTTTTAGATAAAATATTGGGCTATCGTTGCACTTCATGACCTCTATGTTTTCCCTGGCTTATGAGTCCGTTTTTAGACTCAAGTAACGATTGTTTTGTAATCTGTTTTCAAGAGCGTAGAGATACTGTAGCTACAGATAGATTTTGTAAAAAAAAAATACAGTAAAATATGTCATATATAATTAATTAAATGTAAGGTACATGCACTGAATTTGTTGCATCACCCAATAGATCAAAATCCAAAGACTTGGTATTGTAAAAAAAAAAAAAAAAAGCAAAGTTTATAGCTGAATTTTGAAGCGTCGATGATCTCAGAGGGAACTGAAACTGCATAAAATAGTCAACTCGTGCATAAAGACAAAGGAGCTTCAGATATTACAATGTCTGAAGGTAAAAATGCATTTTTGGAAAATTCAATTAAGAAATTGTTACTTGGTTTAAACAAGCTACTATAAGGATGTGCTGATAAATGACGGTGATTTTAGCTAAATGCTACTGTTAACATGCTCATTTTGTAAACACACAGTCAATTTGATTTCAAGATATGTCACAAGGTAATGAAAACCTTGATGTCATGGTGACGCTGGATGAAAAATCAGATGATTCCCAAAAGTGTCCACTGGTGAACACCGATACCAAAGTTTGCACCAGTCCATGAAGCTGATTTTGAGATATGCCACAAGATTATGAAACCTTTCTCTTATGGTGGCGCTAGATGAAAAATAAGGGGATTCCTAAAGTCAGTAAGCTTCCACATGAATGTGTGTGTACCTACGTTCATGTCAAAGCAGCTGATTTTACCCTAAACCAAAGTAACTAACCAAACAACCACCATCGCCATCTTTTGAACCAGACTCTTAGCGTAGCATCTGAGTATCATGTTGTATCTTGTTTTACTCATACATGAAATAAAATATATGAAAATGTCATTTATATAAATGTATTTCTCACGGTATACAGTGTCGTCTTACCCTGTTAGCTTGCATGAAACTTCCCAGTTGGTTGTATATCTTACATAACTGCATGCTTTCTTTTCACACCAATAACCCACCTGCAGCACCTCCTCGCGTCCTGAACACCAATGTCCACCAAAAAGTCACTTTGAATTAAAACATGCAGAACTACAGCCCCATCTTACGAAAACACCAAATCCCACAGTCCTTGGCTTAGGACTGAGGATGCCTATCCCCCGCTGTTTTTCAGGAAGCTTCCAGGCAGCCGCAACGTCTACGCCCAGATGCACAACGAGAAGGAGCAGGAGATGACCAGCCCCGTCAATCACAGCGAGGACACCCAGCACATCATCCAGGGCGAGGAGTTCATTGACGACGACCTGGACTCGCAGACTCTAGGTAACGCAGGAGGTAGCCCCGCCTTCCGTTCCCTTATAAGGACTACCACTAACCACTGCTACTAAAACCCAAGCCACTAACACCAGCAGCTAACACACACCAAGGTACTGGAGGACTTCCCCCTTTTTTATTATTATTATTATCACTGCTATTGCTCAAGTTTTCTGATCTTTGCTGTGACTATTTAGATCTTTACTGTTGCCTCCGAGATTGGTCACGAGGCGTTTTATGGTCATCACCTGCATTTACAAGCACATTTAATCATATCATTGCTTACATGTTATTGCGCCATAACAGACCATCAGATTGACATAGACTGAAAAGTTTGAAAATTGAGTTGCCAAAGAATTAAGGAACAACCTCGTCCTGGATTATGGATTATTTTATACTCTTAGGGTGTTTTAACTACTTTCATAACTAAATCCTAATTGCAGCATGTATAGACATACTATACAATACGATACGATACGATATGATACGATACGATACGATATTGCTACATCGTTGGGTGTGACCAACATTTTAAGCAAAGCATTGAGGAATTGTTGTTCGTTTTGCATGGATGCTAAGCTGGTGCAAAGGTACCCTGTGGAGGTTTCAACTGCAGCTATTCCAAAAAAAAGTGATTTCATTTATCATGTTGCTGATTGGTAACACTGCTGCATTGGTATGTAAGTGGCATTTTACCATTGTGTCTGATTGAGGTTTATACGCTTAGTATATAGTAAATACATCTGTTTGGCAGTCTACCTGAGTGATTTGCATAAAGCTGAGGTCTAGCCTACTTCATGCAAAACGAGTTGTCGCCG